TGGAAAAGACAACAAAGGAAGTAAACGAAGGGGTTAGAAACTTGATCTACGCATTCAGGTATATATATTGGTAAAAACCGAAGATATAGTTTTATGTTTCTCCCCAGACAAAGCCCTAATGAAATCTCACCGCAAACCGTAGCAGTTATCGGAATTTTCTTGATCTTCTTCGATGAAAACAAATCAATCCCATTCTCGTCGAAAAAAATATTAGCCACCTCCAGTTTTGAGTGTATTACTCAACCTATTCAATTCACACAAACACGCAGAAGAAAATTAGCCTTCTTGATTTTCTGCCATAGATGGAGGCAGAAGAGAAGAACATTCGACATTTAAATCATCAAATTTAATCGAGCAAAAGCGACTTATTATTTCCTCCAGAAGGTGGATTATAAAGGGCACATGCGTAATTTAACAAAAAAAATGATATGGGAAGAGATTAGAAGTGATTTACCAAAACAAATAGTTAATAGGGCTCTGCTTTGCTTACCAGTCTAAGCCCTCAAAGATGCCTTCGCCTTTAATGGCAGAAGTTTTAAAAATAGACCATTGCCGGTTCTTAATCTTGTGCAGTTCCAATGACTCCGTTATTGCAGCATCATCCAATGCACCCGGAATATCCTTTAAAACATTCATTGACACAAAAAAAATAATAATAATAAAGAGAGAAAAAGAAAATCGGTTTTTGTCCTCGTTTCTTGGTGTCCCAATACATGTATGTATATACGAGCATATTAAAGACACACAAACCTGTTTATTTGCATATAAGAGGACAACAGCACCTTTAAGCTCTTCCTCCTGACAATAGGCCATAATATTATTGCAAACAAATGGTTAGCATATGGAAAATCATATGTTATAGAGTGTATATAACCGAAGCTTGTAACCATTTCTCTTACGGGAAAAAAAAAAAAAAAAAAAAAGATTAAAATATTGGGTTTAATAGAGTAAGAAAGAAACGAGCACCTCAAGTATTGCGTGAAATTCTTCTTTGGCAACCATCAGCCTATCCGTATCACTTGAATCGACAACATATATTATGGCTTGAGTATTAGGAAAGTAGCACCTCCAATATGGCCTAAAATAGCACCAAAAAAATAAACAAAAGCATATTCCATGAGTGGGCCCAATCAATCAATATTTAAAGATTAATTTCCTGCAGCAAATCTATTTCTCTAACTAGAACCACTTCAAAAGATTCTAAACATCGTAATAGAATTTCGAGATTTCTGTTTCCTTTGTGAATTTGGCAAAAGGAAACTACTGCACCTTTGTTTTTTGCCTCCCGTTTATCTCTAATTGGATATTTGACTATTTGAGCAGTTCAAATGGCCTAAACAGACTAGATAAAACAATCAAGACAACAAAAAGGAAAGAGTCAAATCGGTTACCTGATACTAGTCTGCCCACCTGCCATGAGCAACAAAGAAAAAACAAAAAAAATACACAGTTAGATATGAACTTAAGATGTGAATCATTGATGGGGGTGGGGAATGGGTGCCAGTGTAAATAAAACATCATGGTAAAGCAAAACAAGTTAACTTGCAGAACAACCACAGTCGACAGACGTATAATAAAAACTAAACTGATTTAATACATTTTTACCATATTGAAAATTAGTTGGAGAAAAAAGTGTCGGTTTCCCTTGTGAAAGGACACACACACACCTAATCACTTCAACACTCATCAAAACCACCATAGTAAAGCCTCGTTTGGTTGCCAAGATAAATTGGCTAAGATAAGATTAAATAATCTAATGAAAACCCAATTATTTTATCGGATCCCGTAGCATCCAACAAAAAGCCTCCCTAAAAGGCAAGATAAGCCATGATAACATAATATTTGCGGGTCGACCCGGCAAGTTATTGGGGTGAAGACCACCATCAAACAAAGTCCCAATTATTTAATTAGTCATGGCTAATCTCCCCAAACCAAACGAGGCCTAAAAGTAATATTTAACACTTACTAGAGAAGCATGCTAGTACTGCCAGAAATGGTAAATTCAAACTCGATTTTTTAGAATATACATTAAACTCACTGAAGAAGTTATCTAGAACCTGCAGTTCCCTTAAGTTCGTTGAAATAGACTATATCAGCAGAGATCCTAATCAAGACATGCCTATAATTTTAATCAGATGTCAAACGAAAGTGACCAGCATTAAACAAGTATACTTAGGATAATACGAAAGCTTTTCGTCATAAACTTAAGCAATAGACGGAATTGTTAGAAGTGAACATTGAGCAATAGTCTCCACCTAATCCTTGTTAGGTTTATTCCAATGAGCTTCAAATTCAATACGAATAGTGACTACCGTTTCCTATGATTGTTTATAAATTTTACATATCCATGTCAAATAACACAAATTCATCATGCTAATGAGTAACGAAAGAAAGGTAATCCGTTAAGTGCAGAAGAAGTTACCGAGATCCCAGACTTGAAACTTTATGTTGTTATACTGCACCGTTTCCACACTGAACCCAATTGCTGCAATAAAAAAAAAAAAACAAATTTCATTTTCGGTTTCGTGGAGATTTAAACAAATTTTCGCATGACATGTATCGTAATTCATCAACTTATCAAGAAACCACAACAATTATCCAGTGAGTTTGAAATCATAAAGTTACAGCTAGCACATCAACAATTTATTTAACAATGGCAGCATATGACAAAGTAACATGATCAAATGTACAAATATATAATCGGATAATGCTCCGATCTTACTTGGAATAGTTGATACTACTTCACCCATCTGAAGTCGATCTGCGAAAACAATGAAGAATAAATTGAAAAAACAGATTTAAACGATCAGAGAGATGAAGGAAAGTGAAAGGGGAAGATTCACACAGAGAATGGTGGTTTTTCCGGCATTGTCAAGGCCGAGGACTAGGATCCGAGCTTCCTTGTTCCCAAACACCGACGAAAACAGGCGCGTGAAAACAATTCCCATTCTCCCCCAATTTCTCCGTCAAAGAACGAATTTAAAAAAAACCCTAGATCGGATCGGAGCAGAGAAGCAACTCCCTCTTATCTTCCCTGCGGATGAATGAAACCCAAATTACCATCAAAACTAGGGCAAAATTAGGTGAATTGTTGATTGACTGACTACCGTCGGAAAAGTGGAGGGGGCCGCCCGCCTGAGAGGAAACCGGTGAAATCAATAGGGTTGATTTTGGGAATATGAGGAGTAATGGTGGTGGATTTCTTATTTTAGGAGAATCTTTGAATTATGAGTGAGATTACCGTAGACGAAAGCGACTTTTTTCCATATTGTATTGTTCAAGATCCTTGGAAGCTTCTACCCCCTCTCTCACTCTCTCTCTCTCTCTCTCTCTCTTCGTCTCTCTCTCTCTCTCTTCGTCTTTTCCGTTGAGAGTAGAAACTTTGAAATTTCAGCTGAACAATTTAATGACTCCAAGCTTTAAAATTTGTAGTGTCTAAATAAAAAGAACCCGACGTAATCAGGTAATTTTTCGTTTCCTCGTCTGACGAAATATATAAACTTCGGTCTTCAGTTTATGGTCAATTATTAATAGTTAGGATGTTGTCGTCACCAAAATCATCAGCTCTTTGACATTGCAATCAACAATAGTCAAACTCTAAAGGAGTTTCTCGATATTGTATTAGAAAAGTGTGGAGCTACTACATATCCCGATTCGTTGGTTCTTCAATACCTAGCCCCGCGTGAAAGATTGTGTGTGTCGTTGACAAGCGACGAATGCTTACTTACGATGGTGAAGATGCATTTGATATTGAAACTTACTAAAGAATAATCTAACTAAACGGACGAATGCTTACTTACGATGGTGAAGATGCATTTGATATTGAAACTTACTAAAGAATAATCTAACTAAACGAACATCTTACTAACTAAATCATTAGTTAGTCAGTAGAAGATCAATCTAATCCAATATAGGTAACCGAACGAGCCCTTGAAGATTAAATAAAAGTCATTAGTAGAATAATATTAAGATATCACCTTATCATCCCTCCCAATTTTATTACATTTGATCTTTTAACCGAATGTGTACCATGCTACTTATAACGAAAACTCATAAACACACCAACTCGTGTGTTTTGCGAATTATTGCACAAGAACAAGGTTTAGTCGGTGCATTTTTGTGTGAACGAATTCATTTGTCAACCCAAAAAAACAACCCGCAAACACGCGTGCGCGCGCACAACACAATAGAAACAGAGAGATTCAACAAACTCAGTTCATACAAAACTGTATTCCTTCGACTACTCTACCTAACTAGAAATGGCACACCGAAAACATCGTGCATCTCAAGGCCCTAGTTTATAAAAACCCCGTTCTTGCTAAAACGGCAAAATGCCTTATTTCCAAATGAAAATAGAAAATAGAAAAAAAAAAAAAAAAAAAAAAAAAAAAAAGAACAACATTCCCCTCCACTCGTCTATAGCGCAGATTGGAAAATCATCTCCGCTAACTCCTGCACCGTTTTGAAACAAATAAATCATTGCCAAAGATGCTACGAACATTTATAGCCAAATCATAAACGTGATTAAAGAGACCCTAAACACAAAGTAACTAGAAGTTCGTTGTTTTTACCTGCTTCGCGGAAGCAACTTTAGGCTCTCCCCATTCCTTCGCCTTCTTCTCCAGCATCTCAAAATCAGCCTTTCCAGCCTGTCACGCACAATTACACACTCAAATATCGAAACAAAACATACAAAAAAAAAATTAAAAGTTATATATATATATATATATATATATATATATATATATATATATATATATATATACACACACACAAGTTGGTTGAAGAATTTGACCTCTATTAGAGCCCCCAATTCCGAGTCAAAACTTTGGTACCTCTTCCTAACAAGCTCATTCAGTGAACCATCCTGTAAAAACGCCGCGTTTTAGTACGAAAAAAAAAAAACATGAGTTTTTGTTTATCGAGGGAAAAAATATACGACAAAAAGACAAAAAAAAAATGCATAACCTCAATAAGCTTGGCTGCATTTCGAAGCCCACGGGCTAGAGTATCCATGCCAGCAATATGAGCTATGAAAATATCTTCAACATCGGTACTCTCTCTCCTCCTGTTAGATACAAAAACGCATCAATCTATAACTTTTCATTTCATTGAAAGAATTCGCATTAGTGCTATAAGATTTTCGCCACGTCACACGACTTCCCATGGAATTTTGGTAAAATAAAACCTAATTTAAGAAAAGCATATAAATAATATGAAAAACTTACAATTTGGCATCAAAATTGAAACCTCCCGGTGCAATTCCACCCTGCAATTAAAAAAATAAAAATCGAAACTAAGCTAATTTAACTCTAATTTTTCGCATTATTAATTAATGACGAGTTAAACGGTTATACTTACGTTTTTAACAACGGTGAGCATAACTAAGGTTGCTTCTCCTACATCCATCATAAACTGGTCTGTATCCCAACCTGCACACGTGAAACAGTCTCGTGTTATAAAATTGTTTTTTCGAGTCATGAAAATGTCGGTACATGTACAGCTGTCCTATGAAATCTCGAGAGTTTTATTTAAAATTTAAATACCGATTTGTGGATCGCCTGTGTTTGCATCAATGTTGCCCAATAAACCGTTAATTCTTGCAGTCTCAAGCTCATGGTGACAGCTGTAATATAAAAAATATATATAAATTCACGAATGTCTAATCGAGGTGAGTGAACAGTGTTGATGAATTATGTATTAGTTTTCGGAAAAAAAAAAAAAGGTATGTAAGCTAACCTGTGACCAGACAAAGTTGCATGGTTACACTCGATGTTCAGTTTGAATTCATCTGCATTGGAAAAAAATACATTTCTTACGAAAATTGACAAAGTCAACTTATTTATTTATTTAAGAATTTAATATTAATTTTCAGAAATTAAATTATAAAAGCCACAATTACCTATCAATCCATATTTACGAAGAAAGTTGGCTGCTGTAGCAGCGTCCCAATCATACCTGGCATGATTAATATACGTTATAGGCTACATATTTATAATAAAATAATCCCAAAAATCGAAATTAATTAGTCGGAATACTTACTGATGCTTTGTAGGCTCCTGTGGCTTCGGCTCAATGAGCAGTGTACCTTAAATAAATATCAACGTTTATACGGATAATAAGATAATAATCAACGAATGTCGAGAGATTAAATTGAAAAGAAAAAAACAGATAATAATTAAAGAAATAGACATGTAAATGCAAATACCATTGAAACCGATTTTCTTCTTGTAGGCAACGGCCGCTTCAAAAAACCTCGCCTGCGAGCAGATAAAATAATATATTTCAAAAAAATATAATAATTAGAAAATCGATATCAAAACGAATTAATAAATGTTACCATGTGATTGAGCTCCCGTTCCATATCGGTGTTCAAAAGAGTTTGGTAACCCTCTCGGCCACCCCAGAAAACGTAATTTTCACCACCTAGATAATGTGTAACCTGTAGACACGTATACATACACAAAGTGTAAGGGAAAAAAATATATATTTATTTTATTTGTTTCTAGAAAGTGAATACGAAAAGTACAGTCAGCAACGAACCTCCATCGTTTTCTTAACCTGTGCTGCAGAATACGCATACACTCCCAGTTCGGGGCTGTATATCACAATTAGGGCAAAACATCAGTCAACGAAAAATGTTAAAGAAACATCCGATTTCAGCCAATCACAAAAATATCTCAATTACCTAGTTGCACCTCCATGCATGAATCGAGGGTGGTGGAATAATTGCGCTGTACCCCATAAAGGACGAATCTTTGTCCCCTAATGATTCACACAAACAAATACATATAAATCGCATATATACAAAATAATTAAAAGATTTTACAGAGTTAGACTTTTCTTCGTCTTTTTCATGCGAAAAAAAAATTAAAAAAAATCAGTTACCTGAAGCTCTTTCGCCAGAGCCACCACTTCATCCAAATTAGCATTTGATTCCTACCAAAATAAATAAATAATATAAGAAAAGTTACGGGCTAATAATTTTGAGAAGCATCGTATTTACGGCACTTTACTAACCTCAATTGTTTTGCCATCTGGAGCAATGTCTCTGTCGTGGAAGCACCACTTATCGACTCCGAGCTTTTCAATGAACTCGAAATTCGCCCTCACTGAAATCATCAATCAAGAAAATTTTTAGAAACGAGAATTGCGAAATGCCTTATAATAAAAAACAAGAATTGCGAAAAAGTACAGAGCAAACGCACTTCTTCTCTTGGCCATTGCCAATGAATTGGTGCCGTCTTCCCAAGGCCAAACCTTTGTCGGCGCACCGAAAGGGTCGCCACCTGTCCCACGGAACGTGTGCCAAAATGCAACACTAAACCTCATCCAATCCTACGTAAAAACCGAGAATATATATTTATAATTTATATAGGTTCAATTCCTACTTACTACTAACATAGTTCGTCAACGAAAAAAAGTTCCCACCTTCATTGTTTTCCCGAGAATCTCTTCCTCGGCATTGTACCATTTAAACGCGAGATGATTCTTGCTAGATGGACCCTACATTATCGACCAAAATGAAAGCTCGTAACAAGATCAAACAGTAACTGTAATACTAATATCTATCGAATTAAAAAAAAAAAAAAAAAAATCATGAGAAAAAAGAAGGGGAGAAAATGCACACCTCATACTTAATCTTTGGAACACCCGGGAAAAACTCTCCTTCCCATTCACTGGAACTAGCTGAACAATCACTTCCGACAGTGGCAGGACATGTTGGCGGCCCAACGGCGGTCTACATTTGTTTTAATTTATTTCAAGAATTACACATATATGATGTTACTACGAGCATACAGAAATTGATTTTGTTGTCAATATATTTGACAGTAAGAAATTTCCGACATCAACAAGTGTTGCAGAAATCGGATTACATAAGATTTTTTTTGCAATAATTTGAGCTAAAGATAGCACATTTACCACTGTATTGTAGACCACGTTTAGAGTGAGAAGCAATATCACGAACTTGGCACTCTTCATTTCTACCGTCTCATACAAATAGAATTTCTGCAATCACAAATTACAAATCGATACATATTACATCGTCCTCAGAATAAACACACACACACACACACGCGCTCGCGCACACACACTATTGGAGATATAAATATTAAATGATACATTTCAAATTACAAATCAATACATATTACATCATCCTCAGAATAATCACGGACACACACACACACACACACACACACACACACACACACACGCACACACACACACACACACACACACACACACACACACACTATCTTCTTTTTTTTAAGTAAACAAAAAATTGCTAAAATTGTGGCATTCATTTGACCTAGATTAGGTGAAATCGACAATCAAGAATCAATTTTTATTTCGGGCATCAATCAAATACGAGTGGGTTTTGATTTATTTTATTTATTACTATTTCTTAATCATAGATATTGCAAAAAAAAAAAAAAAATCAAGAAACACTCACTGACAGTTGAATCGCAGACCAACAATAGCTAGAAAATTAGGTATATATAAAGATTGTATTTTTGGGATTAACAGTCAAAAGAACAGTGAGAAGGGAGCTTACAGATAAAGATTGGATTTTTTAGATGCTCTGTCAGCAGAAAGAACACACACACACACACTTCTCAATGTAAGAACACTCCCAAGAAAATTGGTTTTATGATATGATAAGAGTCCAGAAAAATATGTATACCTGAGTTTGAATATTTCTTTATGTGTTCTTTATTTTATTCTTATTTATTTATTATTTATTGATATTAATTTGTAAGTTAATATGCACTTCACACGATGGCTCGAGAATAGCATGCAATCAGTTGATAAATGCAGAAAAAATGGTGGATCTCGAGACTTATAAAAAATGCTATTATCAGCACAGGATAAAATAATCAAATTGTTTAATATTTTGATTTTAGATTAATTATTTAACCCGTTCATTTGTTTTGTTGACATAAAAGGCCAAATTTGTTAATAAATACTCGAAATTGATTCCAATTATGAGCTAAAAAAATATACACGTTTTTTTTTATTGAATTTTAATCTTTTTTTATTCATTTCGTGTTGGTTACATGAAATGCTTACACAATACAAAACGCAAAAAGAAGGTTCTATTTTGTGGAAAAAAAAATCAGTTTTTTTCTTTATTTTTTACCAATTCAACCCATCCAACCAATAAACTTAAATATAATCCATTTAATTTGTTAACTATAAACAACAATACGACGTTAAATATAATGTACAAGTAATTATTTACAACAGATTGTAGTTGTTTAATGTTCGAGAGTTCGTGAAGGGTCTTTGTTTTCGAAGAGAATTTCTGAGATATCTTTTTTTTTCTTAAATAAAAAAATGAAATGAAATCGCACCGTAAGTATTTAAAACCCGTACGCATAATATAATTTCGATTTTACGTATATACACGTATGACGGGTTATAGAATTGACGCCGGCCCAAGCCCAATTAAGCCTCAATATGAAGCCCATATTTTTTGCCTAACAAGAAAGACAGCCCAACAATTTAGTACCCTAATTAATTAGCTAATCACTCAATTACTATTAATTATCACATTTTTATGAAAAATGATAAAAGTCAACGGTATTAGTCAAACTGCTTTAAACCGCTAATTGAGGCGTTAGTTTTTGAGAGCTGGTGAAATATTTCTGGGTCAAACACTCAAAACTCATTTTTTAATTATTTTTTATTTTTTATCTTTTCAATTTTTTTAATCTTTTTTTATTTAAGGTTAATCGTCCGAGGATTTCGGCTAACATGCTCTAAAGTGTAGACTTAGATAAGTGAAACAAAGTGATTGGTTATAAATAAAGATTCATCTAAGTGATGATTGATACTCACGTGCCAAAGTTGCTTAGTGGATCCGATTATTGTTTGTTAATCATAGCTTTGTGTGTGATTAATCGAAAGTAAAACCTTTTTTTAGTGTTGACGTTGCAAAAAATTAATCAATTTTTTTTTTTGCATAATCTCAATTTGACTGTCATTTAGGAATTAGGAGAGTATTATACACATAAATCTAATAAAATTCGAAGCTAAGATATTTAATTATAAAATTCAATTACATAAAAACCTTAATTTTTTTGAGTAAATTAAGGCTAACTTGAGGTAAGGTGAAAAGTAAAAAAAAAAGAAAAAAAAAGAAAAATAACCATTATGTTTGGGTAATTACAACCACGTCCTACAATTATGAATCTTCTTACACGTCCACCCTTGCGATCTCAAATTCAATAAAATCTTCTAGATTATGTCGAATATTCTCCATTTTGTACCCGTTTTACCCATTTGAGCTCCACATTTTGAAATAAGATGATCATAAGATGTGTCTCTTAGCTTGTAAACATCAGATTGTGGTACATCAGAAACTGTATTCTTGCACAAAACGAGTACAAACTAGATAATATTCCACGCAATCTAGAAGATTTTATTGAATTTGACACCATAAGAATAAACGTATAAGAAGATTTTAAGGAGTTGGTTGTAATTACTCAAACAAGATTGTTTTTTTCGTAATTTAACCTTACCTCATAAGATGACAATGATTTACCCTGATTTTTTTATCGATAAAAGAGAATTTATTCGAAATGTAATGATAAATTTGATTTTTATACAATAGCTCGAAAACCAAACGAGAGAGAATCGAACTAGTAATTGGTTGGGCATGTTATCCTGCAGTCCCATGTGATGTGGGCTAAAGAGTGAGAGAGACTTTAGTGGAGCTCCTTCTCACTCCAGTTGTATATACATATATCTACCGCCAAATTATGGGTCATGTTTTGAACTACACAATTTTCTTGTGAATTAAATTGTATATGCAATTAATGTAACATATACACACATATTAATTATTATATGTCATATATATATATAAGCTCTTTATGCGTTAATGGAACATGAGCCTCCATAAGATGTGGCAATCATTATCGAACATGGTTGCCACCCCATCAAAACACACACTACC